GTCATTTTAAAAGCATCGTCATGCTTTGTAGAAAATCGGTACTCCGATAATTTATCACGGAAGCATAAAACCCAACGCCACTACCGTCATAAACTCACCGCCGAGGTAATAATAAGTTAACGCAGATTAAGCGTCGGTAAAAAATGTAGCTCACATTTATCGCTGAGCTAAATTACTCGGCGAAGTGGCGAGCGGAAATCGCCTAAAAGACTTATCACTTTCTACTTATCGCGCAAACACCTGACCCATGCTAATGTCGCATATGAACCCGTCATAATTTGGTCTCATCCGCTGGTTATTTATTCCTTAATCCGTAACTGTAACCATGGAATGCACTTACCATTTTTCATTTATTTCGTTACTTTTTTCTTTTACTTTTATATATAATTAAAGCAGCGAAGAAAGTAAAATGAATCTTCTGATATGTATGCGATATTAAAGAAAATTATAATCTAATTCGTTATAAAATTTCTTTTCTTTTTTTTTTAAGTTTGAAAGTATGAACCGTAAAAAAGTACAACTTTATTTTATTTCGTGTTAAGATTATCCATGAAGTTTTAATAATAAAATTGTGGAAAGAAAGATAAAACAACGTATCATGAAATACTTCTTAATAACAAACCACAAAACAGACACAGAAGAGTGGAAAATTTTGTTAAATTTGAGACGCGTGTGTCTACACAAGTCTAATTGTTTCTCTTTTCCTGAACATTACCTTTTGTACGTCTCATTAAGAACTCACGTCAATTTGGATACCACACATTTCCGTTCAGCATAGACAACACGTAACTCGATACCATTTTCGCTTGGTCAACTTTGCTTTCACTTTATCTCTATCTCTCTCTCTCTCTCTCTCATGACAATCTCTCGCACAATTAACAGTTTACTCGTGGACATTAAGCCTCGGCCGGTGGGTTAGTTGTTTCACATCAGTTCCGGCCACAGTGACGTACGGCGAGCATTAAATGTCTTGAAATTATTTCTCCGACAATTTCTCATCTGCCATAGCGTTGGTGATGGTCGCGAATATCCATACACACTCAAACACATATATATATATATATAGTATATATAGTATATTATACATATATAGAATGAGAGTTGTTAGTCAACTCGTATGTAGATTTCGCATGGAAGAGTGTAAGTGATTCATGTTATATATATATATAGTCTCTCTTGCCCTTTCCCACGTGTGTGGAAAGGACGGAGAGTTTCAAAAGTGATGCAGACGCTAATTATTTCGAACAGCCCCCGAGTTCTGACAGGAACAACGAGCTTTCTGCTTTCGTTCTCGGCGAAAAGGGACCACGAAACACATTATCCTGGCAAGAGAATTATTACGCAGGTGTTTTTCACTCTCCTCCTTCTACATGAAAACCTTGTCTCTCCTTCCCAGCACCAAAGATTCCCTCTCTCAACGGAATTTAATCGGCTTAATTGCAAGATTTCATTCTATGAGAATTCATTGGAAATAAAATTTATCGTACGATCTTTTAAATTAAGGGGAAACAAAAAATGAGTCTGGTACTAAGGATTTATGATTAATTTTCTTGTAGTAATTTACGAGGAAGTTATGAAAAAAAAAAGAAAAAAGTAAAAAGGAATTTGTCGTAAATTTTTCTTTTTTTCTTTTTTTTCTTATTACATTTTAATGAGTAACTACTTTGCGAGAACAAAAGTGTTAATTAAGAAAAATTTTGTTCTAGTTTGTACAACACATTTGGTGCTAACGTCCGTGTAAAATGTTCACAAAATACTTACTTCTTAAAAGTTGGCGATATTGCGAAAAGATTTCTCTACAGTACGTTCGTATATATATACGAACGTAAACGTACACCAGTTGGCCCAAAGAAAAGGGAGCTGTTGCGATAAAAGGGAGGGAAGCTACAAACGTTGTGACCATTAAACTTCCATTTGCAACGATGAAACTAGCTCGAGTGTTCCAGGCAGTAAATTTATAAAAAGATTCCTTGGTAAAACTTAGAATCCGATTGAGATTCTTGCGGATGGTCGACCGTGGAAAATTTCAAAATGCAGACTTCCAATGAGCGTGGCCTCCATCCTCTAAGAAGTTTTAATGTACCCAGGAATATTTCCATAAATTTTCTTATACGATAAAGCGCCGAAACGATTACGTACTACATACATATATATGTATATTATATATATACAAATAAACGAACATATATATATGAAGCACAAGTTTGAAAATAGCGCCTTCTGTTTTTAGTTCCCGAAGGTAAACCCCTTATCACCAGCGCGTACAACACATCGGCGACGTCTATATATTTGGCATGGAAACCACCTAGTCGTGAGACCATACACGGAGAATTTCTTGGATATCGAATTGGATATAGACCACGAGACAAAACGAATATGGAAATGAAAGACATCTACATACGGGATCCCGCAGTAGACGTAAGTTGGAAAACAATATATAACATTGACATACTTTTCAAATCAATTTTATTCTCAAATGAAACTTCCTCTTTTGAATATATATATACATGATTTATTCTAATGTTTTCCAGAATCACAGTATTCACAATTTAGAAACATACACGCAATACCTTGTTTCTCTCCAAGTTTTTAATCCAGAAGGCCATGGACCTGCCACAACAGTTTCAGTGATGACCGACGAAGGAGGTAAGTCTAACAAAAATTCTCTTACTACTTCTGGTATTTACGATTCTCGTATATCGACTGAAGCGAACAGTCGATAAAATAGATTTCTTTTCCTATATTTTTTTTACTCGATTGTCGATAAGTAAGATTTCAATATTATTTACACCTGTTAAAGAAAGTTTCTACATTTAAATCACGTATCATTGATAATTTCAATTTATCGATTGAGTATTTCTAACAAAATTTAGAACTTCACTAAAAGAAAATAATAATTCTCTGAGATTTGGTAAAGCGGCTTGATATCGATTAAAGTAATTGATAAAATAGCAATGATTAATTTAAGTGATATAAATAGAAGATGAAGTAAAAATAGAAAGAAATGTTTTGATTTTCATAAAATAATATACATTGCAAATCAAAATGAAATGTATCAACCGTGATATCCTCTTCGACAAGATATGAAAACTATTTTTACAATTTCGGAAATATTTTTATAACAAATACACCCAGATATATTTTCAATTAAATAAACATCAAATGATCGTGGCTCCAAAATAGAAGACTACAATCCTGGACTTCCTCGCGTAACTTCTACTTCTCACCCCTCTTTCCGTGGTTCCCTGGAGAGCCGTCATTGGTTGAATTCACTATTGGCAAATTCACCTACTTATAACACGCTTGGAGGCAATACATGCGATGTTCGAAAAGAAGAGTTAGGAACGTGCGGAATGAAGAATTATTTTCTTTTACTCGAAGGTGCGATCGAAGAAAGAGATAATTTGATCCTAAACGGACTTTAGTAAGGTTTCTTTCGTATTCAAACAGGACGAACAGTTGGCAGTCCTTCGTATTTTTGGAACAAAGAACAAGCATGGCTTCTGACTAAAAAGAATTCGAAAAGAATTCTTGTAACTATTATTGTGGTGATTTCAATGTTTCTAAGGATGATTGTTGCTTCGTTATTTTCAGAAAAAAATAATAAATTATATAATACGTATACATTTGAAAAAGAATGAAAAAAATAAACGAAGTTGAATTTCGAATCGAAGCGAAGGAAAAGAACGATAAAACGTCACCTGGCACTAAAAATGTATAAGTACGTTACTGTCGGGCCATCGGCAGCAGGTTTTCAGCTGCTCTCGGGTTCTTTGGTGAGCACTCGTCATTCTACGTTGGCGTTCGTACTCGTGAGAAGGCACGCTCGGATAGCCATGATCGTGCGTACATTGTCACGTGCCCTGTTCTTTAGAAGATGAAAAAAAATAGGAAGATAATATCATTGATTCATTGAAAGAATCGAAGACATCAATTAAATAATTATTTCCATTTAGTGTGATTCATCTTAAAGAATGAAAGAAACAGTAAATAAGTAAATGTAAGAAAGCATGTAACAAAGGATCAGTTTAAAGAGTGAGAGAGAGAAAGAGAGAAAGAAAGACATACGAAAAGGGAGAGAGAGAGAGAGAGAATAAGGGAATAAGGGTAGGGGTAGGGGAGGGTTCTAGCTGTGTGCACGTCGTTTCGGTCGGCACTGCAGCCGCGCCTCCGAGTTTCACGATCGATTTTCCACGATTTTTCACTTTGTCTCTCGTGTTGTTCTCCTCGCTCGTTCACGAGGAAGAGTCTCGTCGCGGTGTTTGTTCGTGGCCGAACGTGACGCTAAACGACGACGCCCGCTCTTCTTTCCTTCCAAAAATCAAAAAAAAAGAAAAGAAGGAGAGAGAGAGAGAAAAAAAACATAGTAGGAAATAGATAGAAAGAGAGAAGGATAGATGGATAGATAAATAGCTAGATAAATAGATATATAGATATATAGATAGATAGATAGATAAATAGATAGATAAATAGTTGAAGAAGAAGGAAAAGTAAAAGGAAAGAAGACAAAATATAAACGTAAGAATAGTGTTTTTCGTTCGACGAGTGAGATAGGTGATGTGATTCTCTTGATAATAAAGAGAAAGAGAGAGAGAGAGAGGAAGAGAAAGATAGGGAGAGAAAGGGTAAGAGCGTGGACGGAGTTAAGAGGTGTGTGCTTGCTTGTCGCGTCGTTGCGTGCATGCGTGCATGAGTGAGGAGCAGTGTGCTCGTGAACGCCGAGCGAGCGCGAGCTCTTAGCTCGAGCGTATTTCTCGTTTCCTTTGTCATCACATCTATTTCTACTTATTATTATTATTATTATTATTATTATTATTATTATTATTATTATTATTATTATTATTATTATTATTATTATTACAATTGTTATTATTATTATTATTATTATTATTATTATCCTTTTCCATCTTCTAACACTCTGTCATATCGTCATGTGTAATTAGTTTGTTGTGCGTCGTGCTTCGTGAGTGAGTAATACGTTTCTAAGATATATATATATATAATCATTCTAAGAAGACGCAACCCTTTTAACTTGTCTATTCTTTTTTTCTTTCCTAATTCGTGTACCTTTTATTCTTCTTTGTCTTCTTCTTTATCGAATGCTGTATATTATTCCATCGTCCTAAAGTCAAGGAAGTCAAATCGTTTGATGGACGTTGCTCGAGGTCGAGGGTCGATAGTACTATACATATACACGAGGAGGGGTCGTAGCGTGCCCGAATCGTTAAGTTGGAACAGTCGATGAATCGGATAGGCGACCAATTTATCCTCTTCCATCAAGCTTAAGGTTCTTTCATTATAGTTTAATCGGTTCATTCGATTCTATAGTAAAATAGATCATTCGAGTACATTGGACCGTTTTATCCGTTATAGTTTTAGTTTTTAAGAAGAATATATGAAAGATATAGAACAAGAATGAGAAAGAAAAAGATACTTGAGTTCTTGAGTGCTTTGAAAGAATGGACTTAGCTCCGGAGTGTTGTCAAGAATCTTTCAAAAATTTCCTTTAAATGATGTGTGACATATATATACATATATATACTAAATCAATTGTATTAGGTCATTGAAAATTAGCTGTGATTAATTTGAATGATAAATTAGTATTTTAAGAGGCAATTTTCTAATCGTTAAATTACACGTTACATTTGGTTGTGATTTTCATAAAGAAATTATTTTTAACGATAAAAAATTCGTCATCTTTTAAAAACGTGATCGTCAAGTCAAGGTAAATTAAAATGAATAATATAACATAGTTTATTTTTTGGCTGTGAGTTTCGTGTAGTTTCGTTCAACGGAAGTTAGCAAGGGAAACGTCGATAGGGTCGAGCTCTCGTCGTTGGTCGTCGTCGTAGTCGTCGTCGTGTTGGTCGATGTATCCGTGTGTATGTGCATTTCTATACGTATTTACAACATACACCTACGCATAAATCTTCTCTGGGTAGAGAAGAGCAACACAGTTCTGTGTATATGTGTGTATGTGTGAGTGCTTGCTCATTCGGATTTCGTGTCCTATGTTATATGTGTGTAGTATGTGTGCATGGCGTGCGTAAGTTAGTGTTGCGAGTAACTCGTCCACTCGTTCTTGCTGTGAGCTGAGTCATCAGGATTTTCACTACTAGATAAACTAGATTTTAGATCTCTCTCTTTCTCTTTCTTCCTTTCGATGCATGGATCTTTTATATTTTTTTCATTTGATTTCTCCTTTCATTTATTTTTTTTTCTATAAACATTTTTTATCTCCTTCTTTTTCTATTTTTTTTTTTTTAAAGGTAGTGTAAAAATCTCGCTTGGTATAGGTCACCGTTGATGACTTACTTTTTTTTTTCTGCGACAAATTTGTTTTTCTACATTTTTTTCTTTTTCTTTGACAATGCTAAGAAAAAATAGTAGAAGAAGAAGAAGAAGCAGAAATAGTAGAAGAAAAAAAAAGTATTTGTTGGTACGATTCCTCTCGCGTTCGACCTTCGTCGATGAAGAGAGGAAGAAGAAGTGAAAGAAGAGGAAAAGAAGGAGGAGGAGGAGCCGTTGCTCCGTTCGCAGAGATTCAAGTTTCCACATCCGAACGATGCTGCCCCCTTTTGCATTTTAATGCACGCTTTCGGTACCGTTCCACGCCTTTGATTCCTCTGCTATCTTTCTTCCTCGTAGATGAATAATGCTGTTATCTCGTTATGTTTAACTGTCTCTCTTTTTCTATATTGTATTAAATATACAGACAAATTGACAGACAGAAAGACAGACAGAAAGATAGACAGRCAGACAGACAAACATAATGACGATTGAACGAGACTATTAAAATCAGTACACCGTAAATTAGTATTATAGTATCGAACTCTTCTTTCCTTCCCCTCTCCCTTTCTCTTCTATCCTCTCGTCGGAAACATTCGATTAAACCTATAAATCAAATTCGAGGAAATCCATTTGTCAAAGCTTTATTTTTCCTCTTTTCTGCTTCCCGTAGATTGATTTTTTTTTTCTTTGCACTTCTCAATAAAGCTCTTTTGTTGAGAAAGAGAGAGACAAGAAGTGAAGATTACATATCAATAATGAGTTAGAAACTTTTATTCACGTTTCGTTCGTAACAAATTAAATATTTTTAAAAATTAAAATTTAGATTGATATTATCAACTGGAAACAGAAGAAACGTGAAAGCTTAATTCAAAACTTACAATCATGGCGGAGGCCCCTCTCTTCACCCCTTCGTCATCTTCAACGATGATAGCAACGAATAACGCTTTGTTCATGGTGCTCTCGTACGTTCATCCTTTTTCTCTCTTTGTTTCCCTTTTTTTTCTCTTTTTCTCTCTTTCTCTCTCTTGCTGCCGGTTTTGATGTACTAAAAATACGAAGGGGAAGCAAGCAGCTTTAAAGCGTTGCAGAGGGGCCGAATAATTGTTGCCAGCGCTGTCACGTTGAACCTGATGTCGCTATAGTTTCTTTCCCTTCCTCCTCTTGTTTGGTGTATATCCTCGATGAGAGACAATCGAGAGCATAATTCCGACTAATCGAGGCACTCGTCGCAATTACATCCAACACGTTTACCGTACTCCAGCTCGTTTTTATTCTCTCCTTGTCTATAATATTCTCTCTCTCTCTCTCTCTTTTGTACCCCACACATAAGTACAAGCATTTCTTCACCTCCCTCGTTTCCCTTTGCTCTTATATATATGTATATATCTTTCTTTCTTTTTCTTTTACGCTATTTTTTCTTGCACGTACCAGCGCACACGCCGAGCCGTCGTGAGAATCGAGAAGCTTTTAGAAGTCTCGAGGATGTCAGGAAACTCGTCTTTTTTGCATCGAAATGAACGAACAAACGAACGTAATCCAACGATCTTATCCGTTCATCGAGACTCGCTAGGAAGTTAGAAATTTCGTTTTTAGCATCATGAGAAAGTCCATGACTCTGAAACTTTTGTTCCCACTCTGTCTGGTCTGTCTGTCTTTCTCTTTCTTTATTCATTTATCTTAATTTCTTTCCAATCTTGAATGTATTTTTGATATATCAAAAAAAAAGGTTTTATTTTGAATTTATAAAATTTCATTTACAAATTCATAAATGTATTATACATACATATCTCTTATATTTTTGGCAATAAAAAAAAAGAAAAAGTATAAATCTTCGTTTTACACCTTTTGAACTTTTTCTCGTTATCCTAGCAGTGACAATGAGGCGACGCAAACTTTCTCTCAGTAATAACGAAGAGAGGGAAGTATAGAGTGCACATCATTATGCACTTTAACGAGTGATTCCGAGCGTGGAATAGTCGGACGATAGAGACACGTGATTATAAGAAACATATATATATGTGTGTATACGTACACACCGCAAGTATAAACAAATACATCAACGTGAAGAGTAAAAACAAAAAAGAAGATAAAGGAAAAAAATTGAAAATTAAAAAGAGGAAGTTTCTATTAAAAAAAAAACAAGAGAAAAATTAATTCATTTATACAATGTGGATGCTTAAGAAGAGGATGAAAATGGTGAGGGGAGAAAGAAAAATGGTGGAATTCATTAAATAGCCCATTCTCGAGCAAGACTTCCTTTTCTCCTCCTCCGCCTCCTCTTTCTTTACTTTTCCTTCTTAAACGAAGGAAAAATGGGTAGTCAAAACGACACTCGAAACAGCGGCGTTACAACCACAACGATTTTAACTCTAAGGATTCTCCTTGGGGCAGGATTATTATCGCATCTTCTTTCGCATGTCCTTGCTCAAACGGAGGACCCACAAACCTCTTTAGAAACAACTACGTCTACTGCGACTACTACGACGTACGAGCAAACGACTACTTACATCATTTCCGGATCTTCTTCTTCTTCTTCTTCTTCTTCTTCTTCTTCTTCTTCCCCTTTGGCAGAGAACAAGTCCGACCTTTATAAAGGTAAAATCTGAATATGTTATATTACGTGTGTATGTGTGTGTGCTCGCGCGCGTGCGTACGTGCGTGCGTGCGTGTGTGCATGCGTGTGTGTATTGCGTGGGTATAATATATAATTTGAGAACATCAAAACGACGTTAATTGAACGTGAGTTTCATCTTGAAAGGTCATTTGCTCGCCTGTTTTTTGTCTAGCATTGGTAACGATTGATCGATCGCACCTTTACGTGGAAAATAATATACTGGGTGTTTTGTGATCAGTAGTTTTATATTACTACGTGACAGTAATACATTTTTGTTCAGTATTGCTTAACTCTCTTTTTCCCCCTCTATCCCCATTCTTTACTAACCAATGTAAGATATGTTTAACTGCAATGTATATGAATATGTGATGATCATTTAAAAACATAATATGTGAGAGACAATCGTAATACTAATGGTTTTTTTTCTGCTAATCGAAATCAAGCTATTACTTTTTTAACACTAATTGTAAATGTTACACCAGGAAATCTAGAAAGTATCTCATTATGTAATTATAATATAACAGGCGTGTTTCCTCTTACACATTTAACGATTTTCTTCTTCTTTTTCTTTTTCTTACGTTAGTTTTATTTCAAATGATACTATACGGTATATTTATGAATATATACATGTATACAGAACGGAGGAGGCAAGCTTGGATTCACAAGCATGTTGCAAGATTTACTAGTCTTGTAATCGACGCTTAACTCATTTCCCGTTCCGTCTTGATTTCGAGGAACGAGTTGCGACGCATATTACATTTCTCTGCATATATATATATATATATATATATATATATATATATATATGTATATATGATATGTGTATGTATGTATGTGTCAAAGCCACGTTATACGTAAAATCGATACTGAGAGTGCGCGAGCGAACTAACGAGTGACGCGTAGATGCACTTTGTCTCTCTCTCTCTCTCTCTCTCTCTCTCTTTTACTTTTTTTGTCTCCTTCATTTCTTCTTCTTTTCTTTTTATCATTATTATTTTCTCTTATTTTATTATATATATATTTTTTAGTTTTTGTTATATTCTTCTCATTCTTTTTCTATAACAAATTCCCGTTACGCGTTGTTATTTTACGTAAAGTCTCGAAAACATTTTATTAATATTAAAAATCTTTTATAGTGACAAAAGTCTTTTATATTCCATCTTTTCTTAACTTAATTCACCTAAGTTATATACTATATATTTTTCCATTGTCCCTTTGCGATAGAAGAAAATGCAGCTTGTTAGTTTTGTTTGCGGCGGTCTAATGATACCGAGAGGTATCTCATTTATTTTGTATTTTTCTCAACGTTTTTACCTTACTAACAATAATTGTCTGTTTTTTTCTTCGAAAATGTATTTTCATATTTTCTTTTTCTTGATTTTTATTTCTTTTTTTATAAAATACATTTCAAGTAGTCCAAAAATGCTTTGGTATTGTTGATAAGACATAGTAAATTCCAATGTACACAGATAAGTTATCTAATATTTAAACACGGGTTAGATCTAAAAGCAACCTTTGCACTAAACATTCGAATCACGTTATCGTTTGACAAGAAATTTCTACAAATTCTACTTTTACGATCTAGTTTGAAGGTCAATTACTCTATCGGTCGATTCCCATGAGTTTTAAAAAGTTAACCTTGGTAATCGTATCGAGCAAGGATATTCAACGATACGCATACAACATACATGTATGTAATTAGGTTTCCAAAACGAAGGATAATTCAATAAAAAATTCAAGGATAATAATAATTTCACATTAATTTAATATTGTATTCAAATCTCAATCTGTTATTATGAATTCGTAGGAATTTATAAAATAAGATTTATAAAATAAATAAAACTAACGATCGGTATGTAGTTCGATTACAGTTGCGTTGAAAACATAATACTCTCTTTTACTCTCCCTCTTCCTCTTTTTCTCTCTTACTCCCTTTACAGATCGAGAAGCAGGTACATATACCTCGGCCATTTCTTATCAAATGTTCCTTTCACTCGCAAACCGTTACTCACTGCAAGCCGATCCAAATAAAGGCTCTTTCGCCTACTTCGAAGCACTCCAACTTGCTTCAACCACTAGTAACAAACATATACACATACATATACACATGATACATATACATTAACACGAAGAGTACGGTTAAATGTTAAAAACGGAAAACAATAATACGTTTCTCGGGGGTTTTTTCACTACCCATTTTGACATTCCAGAGCAGTTCGTAAAAAGCATCATTCCTTCTCTTTCTCTCTTTCTCTTTCACTTTTTCTCTATCTTTATCTTTTACTTTGCCTTGTTTAAAAACCATTCCGTGACGGCTCAGTGCAGCGATAACATCTCTCTCTTTTATCAGGTCAGTTTACCCCTGAACACAGTCATTTGGAAGGAATGATTAGTACGGAACGAGACGAACCGGTAGCTTTATCTCCTTCTTATACCTTACCCACCGTGCATCTCGCAACGTTCTTCTCACTCGTTCTGCTCGCGCCATCGCGATTACTTTGACTGATTAAACGAAAGCTTCTGTGGCCTTCGATAATTGTACAGAAGTAGTAATAGAAGTAACAAAGAAAATCATTTTTTTATTATACCTATTTATGTAGACATCTCTCATGTTAGTTTTTCCAACTTATTTTTTTCTAACTTTATCTATCTCACATACATACTCATATACTTTTTTCAAATTTTGTTCTTATTTTCTATTTGTGATTCTTAGATATATTATATCAGTTGTATCCGTGTATCTATGTAATCCCCATCCATTATTTTGATAATTTAATTAGTCATAAGTCGAGATATAAATTTTTCAAACAGGATTGATATAAGCTATTTATCTTTTCTTTCTTTTTTGTTCTTTTTTTCCTTTTGTTTTAAATTTTCTATCTTTATAGGAATATTTATTCATTAATTTAGTTGCCTTCATATAGTCGAGAATAATGATAAGCTATTCTTTTCTTTTTCTTTTTTTTTTTAACTCATTCTTTTCTCTTCTCGAAGACAACCACGATGATTTCTTTCACAACGCTTTCTCTCGCGAGACTTTATGCACCCGATCCAGAACCGCTAAGCAAAGACACACAAAGAGAGGTTAGTAAGCCGGTCGTGTAGTAAGGATGTCACACGACAGAAAAACGATGTTCTAGAAAACATCTCAACGTGTTCCCGTGATTTCCTTTATGGTAGAACACAGACTCCCCTTGATCTAACATGATAGGAATAATACGAATATACCGGAAAATTATTCTAACTTTCACCGAATTGGATAAGAAACTTTCTAAGATATATCTTAATCGATGAGAAAAACAACATTGAAGGAACTAATTCGTTTTGCATAATTCGATTGGATCAAATATTCCATGCTCGTTCGACTGTAACGAACACACGAGGAACATAGTAACCTCGATTATATAGTCTCATATATATATATATATGGTCTTTTAATGGCTCTTCCTAAGAATCGAGAATTCAACGAGTCTGCTGCTGCTGCTTCTAATAGATCAAACACTTCAATCTTTTTTTATCCTTTTTTTTCTTTTCTTTTTTCTTCTTTTCATAAATTTATAGTTAATTACCGAATCTTCAACTTCTTTTTTTTTATATCTCGGAAAATATTTCAATAATTTTCAAAAATCCATCTTCGTATTTATCCATCCATCCATCTCTTTCCATTTTAATTATTGTACCTTTTTAAATTTTTTTTTATTATTATTTTTTATTTTTTTATTGTATTTATTATTGTTGTTAAATTTTTTATCTCTCTTGATCTTCAACATGACGTCATTTGAGAAACGAGAAAAGACACAACTAGAAAAGAAAAGAAAAATAAAAAAAAATAAAAAAAGAACAAACATTCTTTCAAGTCCGTGTTTGAGGTGTATTTATAATACGTATATGCAACGTACGATGAATTGCAGCAGGACGATTGACCTTGACTATGCCTCGCCATCCGTAATCATATTCATTTTTCACCTCGTCCGTAATACGAGTACGGATCCCTCTTCCCCCCCCCCCAACTATAGTGCGTGCGGAGACTCAGCATGACATCATCCGGTTGCAGCTCGCAAAGGTTATGCCCGATCGTTGAGTCTGCGCGTTGTGTTACTTTGGCTTCTTCGTTTCTTCGTTTCTTCGTTCGCGGACGAGTGAATYCGAGCGTAATACTTTGCTTCCTTCTGTATTATTCTTTAACTGATTGTAAGAGAGAGAGAGAGAAAAAGAGAGAGAGATAGAGAGAGAGAAAATTTTTTAATATTCATTTGAAATAATATATTTATATTTTTAATATGCTATTTACTTAAGTTTGCAATAATTTGAGTATAAATAACAGTTAGAAATTACATTTATATTTGTCTGCAATTAATTGTTTGCAATATTGCAAATATTAATAAATAATTCTAGTAATAATAAACGAAATTTTTGATGTCAATCATCGACGATTATCTTTAATGATAATAAACACGTTCTTTAATGTTTCGTATTCGAATAAAACGGGTTGACAGAATCGACTTGATATACTCGTAGGACAAGGAAAGCCAAGACGAAGCACTACTCGTACCTATAATTGAAGTAAATCGATACGTCATCTTCTTTCTTTCACTCTTTTTTTTTCTTAGGTTAGCTTTTGTGCTTTTTATATATATATATTTTTTTTATTAGTCTTATTTGCCCCGTTCGTGCAACCAAATGGAAATAATAAATACTTATAGCAAAAAATAATATCGAAAAATGTACACACGTGTGTATTTAAGTAAATAAGTATGTTCATTCGATATTCGACTGGGTATTATATAGCGAGCATTTGCGGGAGCTCGAATCAATTTGCACAGTTAATTAATTTAAAGGCATCGTCTATCAACCTTGAACATTTATTTTTTTTTTCTTCTTTTTTTTTCTTCGCAACAAAGATCACATTACGCCGAAGCACCGAAGGTGCCGATCCTGACTCGAAAATATCGATTTTGTCTAATTTGTCATCATCGTTTTTGTCTTTTAGAAATGTAAGATACATTGTATGGAATAGTTTTCAGAAAAAAAGGGAAAATGTTTCTTTAAAAGAAAATATTTTATCGAAACGTTGGGATTTAATTACGAAGAAAGTGTATTATATATATATAATTCTTCAATAAAATATGTCTTTTAAATGAGATATAATATTTTGTTGAAATAATGTTAATTAGGAAGAAAAGTTTTTTTTTTAAATTGTTAAGAATATGTACGGATGCATATTATTTTTTTATGTAATTTACCTGCCATACCTACCATATCTACCTACCTACCGTTATTTTTGTTCTCTTCCTTTTTCTCTTTTGGGGTAGGTAATCTTAAAACCGATAAATAACGCGAAAAGCTTTTTTCCACACGGAGAATGCATTCCCAGTCTTAAAGGCCTTCACTTCTGGTTCCATATACCAAAATGAATAGCGTCTAGTTGCTTGTCGGCGCGAGGGGTCTGAGAAGACACTCGAGGCTGTTATTAATTATTCAGTCTTCGGTCGTCGAAACTTCGCACTTGCTTTTGTATGTGGAAGATTGGAAGACCACTTTAGAAAATGACAAGAAGAAGAAGTAGAAGTAGAAGAAAGTAGAGTTATCGGAGAAGACTTAGCAAAATGTTTCATATTCTTTCTTTCTTTTTTTTGTTTCATTCTTTTTCACGAGAATATTAAAAAGTGAAAATAATCCCTTAACTAATGTACGAGTTTAATGACGTTTAAAATATCATCGTACATCACCTGAAGTGAAATTTATTTAGTCATCTGTGTCCAACTCGTCTCACTATAATTTCCTTGTAAATTTTGTTTCAGTGCCAACGAAACCCCAGAATCTCACGTCACGTGGAATAACGTCGACAACCATAGAGCTGTCATGGTCCGAGCCAGAAAGTGCCAACGGCGTCATAGCTGGCTACCGTGTTTATTATATGCATTCCAATTACACCGATGTTCAAATGCACAAGATGTACGACAACAGTGGGCCCAACGTCGAGTTCGTATTAAAAGATTTAAGTGAGTATCATTTAAAATTAACTTATAGATCACATTCGTTAAATAAGCGAAAGATAGTGATAAGAAAATAAAAAATAATAATAAACGGGTATTAATACAAGAATAGACATGATAAGTGGTGTGTGATACATGTTATCTCTCTCGGTATTAATACTAATCTTCAGAAAAGTATAAAATATAATAGCCGATAAAGTGTGATACGAGTGATTGAAATTTAATAATAATAATAAAATATCCTTTTATCTATTCATTACTTCAGAACCTTACATCATCTACGATATTTGGGTGAAAGCATATACGTGGAAACACGAAGGTGAACCATCCGATCATATATTTCGTAGGACTGATATTGCTGGACCAAGCGAGCCACAAATTTTAAATTTGACTTGTCAATCGTATAATTCAGTTTATATTCAATGGGCAAGACCAACGCTCTTTTGGGGTTCCGTCGATTATTATTATATCAATTATCGTCAGGAAACTAATAAATATTCCGAAGAAATCGAATTATCGGCCGATAAGAATCATCTTGAAAGTGGCGTAAGAAAAATTTTATTTAATTTCTTTTTGAAACCAGAAAATATGAGCTTTTAAATAAATGTTAAATATTAAAAAATTGAAAAAATAAATATTTGTTTCTTTAGATGATTATACATAATTTAACAATGAACACGGTCTACGAATTTATCGTACGTGGAGCAACAAAAAGTACCATTAATGATCGATTGATCATACAAGGAGAAAGTTCTGCACCACGAAACGTTTTGGTTACTCACGATTGCGATAAGATTCCACCGTTGAAACGTCGTAGCAGCAAGGATCTCAGCGCTGGTGTGATAGCTGGCATGGTTTGTGCTTGCTTTGCCGTCATGTTAGCAATAACAGCCTTCGTTCTTTGGAAGTAAGAATCATTTTCTATAATATTTTAAACATATTAATAATTATTCACATATTCGTATTAATACACATTGAGTCTACCTTGTTTTATATCTCTAACAACAAAAATAATAATAAAATATATATTTTTTCTATATTTTCGAGATAAATGTAATAAATATTCATACAAATAATTTTAATTGAAAATACGTTCGAAAAATAACATACAATTATTAGTCTATGGTAATAAAGTTCCGTTCTCGTGTTCACAATTATTAGTTGAAATAAATATTCATTTTTATTAGTTTTGGTTGAGAGAAATTTGATAATAAATACAAAAATTAAACCCAAACAAAAAAAAGAAATAAAAATTTCCAGTATCAAAAATACTCTGGAAAAATATATATACACACATATATATAAACCACTATATTATACGTGTATCGTTAAATGTAAATCTGAAAATCACACGAGAGATATAGCCTTCAGCGATCAGATTCGTTAATATATGTCGGTGTGTTGCGAGAAACGCTGGGAGTCGGGAAAGATCATGCGCGTGATCTCGTACGCGTGTGTACATGCGAAGAACGTTCTCTTTCAGTCTCTTCGAATCATTCGTCGTGGTTGATTCGATTCACCGTTTTTCTTTATACACAACACGCGAACTAATCGTTTTTTTATGGTGTAAGAAACATGATCAAGAGGACAGTTAACGATTTTCGTAATGTCATTAACATTAAATGCTGTCATTTAATTTTTTTCTGTCTCATTTTTCTATTATCTACTTTCTGACTTTTAATGTCTCTGTTTTCTTTTTCTTTTTTCCTTCCACACACACTCTCTCTCTTTTTTTCTCCTCTTTTTTCTTTCTCTCTCTCTCTCTTTTTCTTTCTTTGCTTTGTATAGCGTTGTCTCTCACGCTCAGCCTATCTTCTTATCGCTGTTGATAACGGCCAGAGTTAGAACGACGTGTATATGCTAAGGCTTCTTCTTCGTACAGTCAATAAGTGTCGTCGTATTCGCGAGTAATATATGTTTTAATAAGCAATTTCGGATTATATTAAATAAAAAAAGAAAAAAAAACAGAAAAAAAACAAAAGAACAAAACATGAAAGTAGCGTCGTGTGCATAGCGTCTTCCCAATCGTGTCCATTATAGTCATCGTGTTTTCTAAATAAAATGAAGGGAGATCGTGTGTGTATATATATTTATTTTATATAGCACGGCGATGATCAAGGATGATATCCCAAGGATTATATTCAAAATGGGATCAATTTCGGGTCAGGGACGTATGTAAATCTTGAAACACCCTAAGTCTTCCCTTCTTTTTAATTCTTCGAGATTCTCTTTCATTTCGTTCTTGATTTTTTTCTTTTTTTTTTCCCTTAAATGTGACTTATATTTAAACCGTGACCAGATTTGATAACTTGTCGCGTATGTCTTTGCAATGGACCCTTGGAAAAACTACGAAACGAAATGAAGAAATTTTTTGATCTGTAAGTTTTATCTTTATCTTCTTTTTTTTCCATTTTTTTCCATCCCTGTCATTTTTATGATATTATGAATTATAATAAAATATTAGAATATTGTCGATTGGATATATCCATTTTTTAAAGAGAAATTAATTTTTATTAACACTTTCGTATTATACTGCGTATATCGAATGTAAAGAGAAAAAAAATTATAATTGTTATAATTGTTCTTGATATTTTTTTTCTTTTTCTTCTTTTTTTTTTCTTTATGAATTTTAAAAGTGACGTAACGTTGTAATATCGTTACGTATACAACATGCGCCGTAAGTATTCGACACGAGCTTTCATTCCGATCGTATAAATTATGTCGATGAGACTTATGCCATTCATCGGAGAGCGTATAAATGGCGATGTATGTTTCTCACGAAAATCGAGATGTCACACACATACGCGTTGTACTAACTCCTCGCGCCGGACGCGAGTTAAGATCATTAACCTTTCCTTGCTGTAACCTGAGTTCTCTTTGCGAGAAACATTATTTTCACCTATCACGAATAAAAAAAAGGTCTTGTTGAGAGGTAGATTGTGTTCGAAGATAAATCGATTTATTGAACGATTGATGTTGATTTAGAGAAAAAAAAAACGACTGATAATGTTTTATACTTAACGTAGTATCTCTGAGACTTTAGATATCTTTCTCGTATCTATTTATCTTTTATTTTATACGTTAATTCGGCGAATAATATCATATAAAAAAATAAAGAAAATGAAGAAGAAAGTATAAAAATATATTTGTAAAAAAAAAACAAAGTTAAGATAATTTTGATAATAATTTAAAAATTACGTATGTTAGAGACAATTAGTAGTCTTATTCTTTAATTGCTTCTTCCTGTCCGACCTACAATGGGTAAAAATTGGAAAGAAGAGAATTAGGTAGATACTTTTTTTCTCAGGATATCCCATTTAATAAGGAGATATATTTATCGTAATAAATTATTTATATATATACAATAAATTTTAAAAAGAATATTTTTATATTTAATTTTTGAACAAAAAAATTCATCAAATACGTTTGCACAGACCGATTTTCAGAAAATGCTTTCACACGGCCTATTACTACCTGGATTATCCACCACGAAACGTGCCGACTCTCCAAGAATGGGAAAACAGTGAGCAAGATGGCGAAAGGACCGCCGTAAGCGTTCAACAATTCGTTCAACATGTCGCCAAGCTGCACGCCGACGGTGACATCGGTTTTAGTAAAGAATACGAAATTATACAATCCGAGAGTGGAGGTTACACCGTCGAGAACTCTCAATTCGCTGAAAATAAAGCGAAGAATCGATATCTCAACATACTCGCATGTAATTTATTCTCTATTTATTTTTTTTTATCTTTTGTTTACATTTGATACGATTATCCTTCTTGATTATTCCGAACTTGGTTTGTCCTTCTATGAAGTTAAAGAGTAGGAAGAAGAGAAGTAAATGATATCGTATGAACTAACGCAATTTACTTTTTGTTTCGACAAGTGTCGCACTTAAAACATTTACACGTATATAAACGTTTATACGGAATGAGTCAGGCAAAAAAAAAGTAATACTCGAGCTCTATTAGTATTTATTAAATGAGAAAATATAAATGAAACGAGAACATAAGAAAATGTGTTACATTTAAAATGCAAAATCATGACAATTCTTATTACATAAAGTTAAATTATTCATATCATTTATTTATCGGAATGATATAATTTTTCTTTATTCTGTCAAAGTAAATACAGATGTTTCGTTACTTCATTTCTCGTAAGTTACTTTGTGCATGTGATACGAAGTATACCGTAAATTCGCTTCGACCATTCACAATATTATCGGATTAACGAGCAGCCTCGTCATTGCTTTTGATGTGAGTGACCTGTCTGTCGACAACTGGGTCACAGATCCTCTACCATCGAGTCGGACACCGTCCACTTGTTTTCGTGGAATGATAAAATTACCTATGTGTATTAGTCACATTCCGCGATATCGACTTTGTTCTAACTACGTCGAAACAAACAATAACGTTCGATCTAAATGACACTTATTGCGACACTATAACGTCTTACATTTTTATTTCTATTCTTCTATTCTTCTATTTTTTTATTATATTTTATTTTATTTCTTTTTTTTAACTATAAGTATCATATTTAACAAAATGATAGATGTCATAAATTTATGATCATGTTTTGCAGATGATCACACGCGTGTACAATTATTATCGTGCGGCGGAGGACCACCTAAAAAAGGACAAGATTACGTCAACGCGAATTACATCGATGGATGGCAACGTGCACGAGCTTACATTGGCACTCAAGGACCATTGCCACCGACCTTCGATGGTTTCTGGCGAATGGTTTGGGAACAACGTGTATCAATCGTTGTGATGATCACTAATCTTGTCGAGCGTGGTCGCGTAAGTTACTTTCTGATTTTTATTGTAATAATCTTTTGATTAATTTTTAACACGTTCCTCGCCCCCATCGCCTATATTTAGATGACACACAATAGCTTGATACATGACTGAATAAAATTGGTCAATTAACGTGTTAAATGAAAATTATTTTGTATATTTACAGAGGAAATGTGATATGTACTGGCCGAAAGAAGGCACTGAAACTTATGGTTACATTCAAGTTACTTTAGTCAGGGAAGACATCATGGCAACTTATACCATTCGTACTCTTCAAATACGACATCTCAAGGTATATATTTATAATAATTGTAAAAAAAAATAATTTGTTATTATTGGGCTAAATAAAGTATACCGATACTTAGTAAGACGAACGTTATGAAATTTTAAGCAGATTAAGAAGAAGAAGAATGGGACCAATATGGGAGAACGTACGATATGGCAGTATCATTATACTGGTTGGCCTGATCATGGTGTTCCTGATCATCCTCTACCTGTTCTCAGTTTCATTCGGAAATCATCCAATGCTAATCCACCTGACGCTGGTCCAATAGTGGTTCATTGCAGGTAATCAAATAAAATGATCATTTTTCTGTATTATGTAGGATTATATTTCATATAATAATAATAATATTATTATTATTTTTATTATTATTATTATTATTATTATTATTATTATTATTATTATTATTATTATTATTATTAATAGTGCTGGTGTTGGACGTACTGGGACCTATATTGTGATCGATGCAATGCTGAAGCAGGCAAAGAGCAAAAACGAAATCAATGTATTCGGATTTTTAAAACACATTAGAACGCAGAGAAACTTTTTAGTTCAAACAGAGGAACAGTACATTTTCATTCATGATGCTTTGCAAGAAGCTATCGAAAGTGGAGAGACCAATATAGAAGCTAATAATTTGATGCAGCATATTCAAGACATGCTATGTCCGTCCAACAATAAGACAGACGCCTGGAATAACTTAGATTCTCAATATAAAGTAATTGTCATGATAATTACCGATTATATCTCTTTAATTGCACTGTTTCTTATTAAACTTATTGATTATTATTTTCTTTTTGGTTTTTTTTAATAGCTCGTAACGTCCTGGAAACCAAAGGACTTTAATCTCGTGTCGGCGACAAAATCATTTAATATTCATAAAAATCGTAATATGGAGATTATACCTATCGAAAATGCTCGTGTACATTTGACTCCAAAGCCTGGTGTTGATGGAAGTGACTACATAAATGCAACGTGGTTCTCTGGTAAAAAAAAACGTTTTGCTTTTTACTTTTAATTTTCCTATTTGTCTTGATTTATATTGAAAACATTCATTTAAAATTCATCGATAGGGTTCCAAAGAAATCGTGAATTTATTATAACTCAACATCCAATGGAGAACACCATAATGGAATTTTGGCAAATGATGTGGGATCACAATGCTCAAACTATCGTAATGTTGACTCAATGCGATAAGGTACATAAGAAATATTAATGATTCATAATTATTATTTTCAAGTACATAATATATTTTTCAATATTTAATAAAATTGGTATATATATATAGGAATATCCTGAGTTCTGGCCAACGGAAGGAAAGGATTTGGAATCGGAAACATTTCGAGTACGATTATGTGGTATTAAAGAAACAGTCAATGGAATCATTCTACGCGAGGTAGCCGTCAGATCATTACAGGACGATTACGAATTAAGTGCAAGAATCGTTCAAGGACCACTCAATCAAGTTGGTTTATGGCCTCACAATAATAACCCCAAAGTATTTGTCAGTGTGATACAAGACTTTCATAGAGATTATCAAAATGGTCCAATCGTCGTTATGGATAGGTGACTATACTGATCGAATATTTCATTAAAATCTCTTAACCATATCATTTTAAAACTACCATAATCATTTGCATTAGGTACGGTGGTGTCGAAGCTGCCCTTTTCGTTCTGCTAACAACTTTGAACAAACAACTCGAGTTCGAACAATCAGCAGATATATACATGTTTGCTAAATTATTATATATGAAAAGACCAGGTGTATTTCGATCGAAGGTAAATAAAACAATTCCTAATTCTCTTATATCGAATTAAGTCATTACTAAAACACTGTTTTAATATTAGGAGGACTACGTATTACTTTACCAATGTTTGGAAACAATGCTGTCGTCAAAAGTACGCGGTGAACCGGATCTTTACGCGATGGCTAATGGACATGTGGCAACAATGAGTAATAACGATCCGAACGAGATTAGGTCAGCTTCGTCGATGCAGCACATAGCGACAATGGATTATCCCATGAAGTCAGCACCACCAATGATACGAGAATACGCGACGGTGGAGGTGAGCACCGAGTACTTGTCCGACTATACAATCCCCATAAGGGTGGACCATCCGATCGAATCTTCGTCAAGCAATCGTGGAAGTGAGACTTGTCTGGCCGCTCATGGTAGCAACGATCATGGCGTATCCGAGAAGAGCATTGTGGTTAGCCAAAGGAATGTTAGCTATCACAATCATCCACCGGGTGTTTCGGTGACGGTAGATGCAAACGGTTACATCACAAACGGCAGTATGCGCGTACCACCTGAGGGTATGGAGGCGAGCTGCAAAATATTACCGCAATGATGTCGGCCTATCTTCGGTTGCAGCGTCGCCTCAGGTCGTTCAGAACCGCTGTAATCGACAGTTTCGTCCCAATAACCGGAAGTATATTTCGTCCCTCGTAAGTATTATCGTCGCGTTCCAACATTCACTCACTGCACCTCTTCCTTAATTATGTTACTTTTCTTTCTCTCACTTTCTTTTTTTCTCTCTCTCTCCCTTTCTCTCTTCCATTTTCTTTTTACTCACTCTCTTTAGCACCGTTTTCTCTTTTTTTTTTTATTTCGATTTATCTTCCTTTCCTTGTGCACTCCGCGTCAAATTATCAAACGCACGATATACTATTCTTCGAAAATAATAGCCTCCCCCTCAAATTGCTATTAAAAAGAAGATCGGATGGCCATTTTTATGACTATGGAAGTGTGTCGAGTAATTCTACGTTATCTTCAATATATTTCTGTTGATTAGAAAATTATTTATAAGATTTGATCGTACGAATTCGTTAAGTTTAAAGAGAATATTTATTATATTTGTTTGTGTTTTGTGTCATTCAGATGACACCAGAAGGAGCTGTCCGATTGGAAAGATCTTCGCACAATGGAAAAGCTGACCGTTCGAGTATACAAGATCAGCCTCGGGGGATCATCGAACGTACATTCGTGTAAATATGTCCACGTGAATTTAGGATAAAGTAACTAAACTAAATTAAACGAAACTAAATTAGACTATATTAAACTATATTAAATTAAATTAAATTAAACGAAATTAAATAATGAATGAAAATGAGCGAATAATACGAACGAAATGAGTCGAGAAAAGGAAAAAGCTAACCCGTCTTACATTAGCTAAAGACAGTGACAAAAGAAAAAGAGCAAGCATAAACAAGAAGAGTTTTTGCTGATTTTGCAAGTCGCCGGCTTGGATCGATCGCGTTTATCTTGTCCATCTTGTAAGTGTACGCTGTTCCATTCTTGTATATATCACCCATTCACATTACGTATAAATATTATACATATATACATAAATAAATGTATACATATAAATATAAGGTCGACCAGCCGACAGACCGAGTTGCCAAAGAATCATTAAGGATATACTCTTTTTAATCTATAAGAGAAAAATGACGATAGATCAAATTTTTGCGAGGGGATGTGTAAATATTTCATATGCATATATTCATATGTATATAAATATATGCAGACATAAATCAGCAGGACATATATAGACTAGATATATGTGTGTGTATATATTTATATACATATATATATTAATATAAATATAAGTATAAATATAAATTTAAATACACAAAAATACAAATATATAAATATAATTATAAATATAAATATAAATATAATTATAAATATAATTGTAATATCTATACACATTAGCCACTTGTGATGATGACGTGTGATTGGATCAGATCCATTTCACAATTATATCGTAAGTGTATGGAAGATGATATCTACGATTACAAAAACGGTATCACTCGTATATATTATCGCTCGAGTGAACCTTCGCGTCTGTCCTCTCTCATTTTTTTGATTATTACGTCCTAATATGACGAATCGAGCGTTCGATCGTGCCCGCGTTAACGATTCGATTTATTCATTCGATATAATATTTTTATTTCTATCTCATTCGAAATGCTCTAAACGCCACAAACGTCGTACGTCTTTGAATGTGTAAAAGACACAGGAAAATAAGAAAAAAACCTCCCTAAAATATAAAAATACATTAGGGATACATAGAGTGATTCAAAATGATTAAAGTTCCAAGATCGTACGAATAAAACTTTGTCGATAATTTCTATAATTTTATTAACGTAATCGCATTGACCGTCTTTCATTTTCATCATCATAATCATTATTTACGCATCTTTTTTCACTCTCTCTCTCTCTCTCTTTTTCCTATAAGCAAATAACATTTTTTAAGCATAACGATGCAGCGAGGCGAATGATGCCGATGACAATCTTGATATTTTATCGAGGATGAACATTCCAAACACTGCACAGTTTCGTTCCGTTATTTTATATTATTATTATTATTATTATTATTATTATTATTATTATTATTATTATTATTATTATTATTATTATTATTATTATTATTATTATTNATATTATTATTATTATTATTATTATTATTATTATTATTATTATTATTATTATTATTATTATTATTATTATTATTATTATTATTATTATTCATTTTATTATTATTTGTGTTTTTATTTTAATGAAATGATTTAACATTTTTATTGATATTATTATTACTTTTGTTATAATTATTGAATGTATTAGAACAAAGTCATACCGTAAATATGATGAGCACAATGTGAGTCAGTAAATTCTAAGTATAAAATGGCCAACAAAAAAAAAAGAAAAGAAAAAAAAAGATCGCGTCAACTTTTTTTATGTACATTTCATTCTAATTTAATGTTTGCTATGCGAAATTTTTTTCTTAACAATGATTTCAAGTCCTGCCATTGGTTCGTCGCGATGCGTTAACGACAACAACAGATCGGAAATGGTTGTGTCCAAAAATTGGGTTATACACATCTATACATATACCTATGGAAGTAATTAAAAAAAAAAAATTAAAATTAGAGAAAACATATATTGAAAAGTTTTCTTTTTCTAATAAATTTAAAAATAGTGATTGAAATTAGATGATAAATTTATCATCGATGATAATTAAAAAGAAAAAAAAAGAACCGAATTCATCTTTTCTTTTGGACGCAATCAGTACGTGCCTTCAACATCATTTCTACGTTGTACGTAAAACGCGAAAAAAAATTTCAATCGGGATGAATGCGTAATTTTTTACTGTGAAGAATGCTAATCGCACGTTTCGGAACAAAATGTTACGAAAAAAAAATAATAATAAAAAAACAAACAAATAATAGTGATAATTACGGAAAACGAACAAAATATAATAAGAAAAAAAAAGAAAAAGAATGATAATTCCATAAGAAGTGCGAGAAAATGGTGCGTCGAACTTCAAACACACGTTGTTGTTCTTAAAACAACTTTTTGGCATTCTCTTCCAGTGGCCATATTGCCGGTGCCTCGTTGCCATTTCTTTTTGTCAATACGTTCGCGCGCGCGCGGTATATACACACACGAAGACTGAAGTATTTGTTTCTTGTTAAATAACTTTTAAAGCATTAATGTAAGCAACGATTGAAAGGAAGAGAGAGAGCAGATGGAAAATGTGTACAATATATGACGTCAAGGGTAGAATGAGAGTTCGAGAGAGAGAGAGTATGTGTGTGTACCTGTGTCTGTGTCTGTGAATGTCCGAGAGAGAAAAAGAAAGAGTCTATACGTATGTGTCATATGCTTGTGCTGTAAATTTGTGTGTGTGTGTACTCAATGACCACATCGTATAGAAGATGGATCGTGTGTCACATAATAAACGTATCGAACTGTACAAGACAAAAATGTAAACACTAAATTACGATATTTTATTTTTGTTTTACTCACGATAGATATGAGTCTATAGAATTTTTAAATGTTTCGACCTGTAAACAAAATGTTTAGTAGCGTGCCATTCGTCTTTCTTGAAACTCTTTGACTAATCATATTGCATCTTGTTCAACCATATAGATGGGACACATGATTCGTTTTAACATGTCGATGAATGATGAATTAATAATAAACTTCGATTGTTTTATCAACTCAATTTGTTCTCCTTTTTACCGATCGTGGGACACGAGCAAAGAAGCATAAACTATTATAAAAATTACTGTTTCAATTATTATTAATATTATTATTATTATTATTATTATTATTATTATTATTATTATTATTATTATTCCTATTATTATTATTCCTATTATTATTATTNATTATTACTATTATTATTATTATTATTATTATTATTATTATTATTATTATTATTATTATTATTATTATTATTATTATTATTATTATTATTTTAATTAAACGTAAAAAAACGAAGGAAATAATTTGGGAAATATTTGATTATTTTGAACCAATATGGAATTGTAATTGATAAGAAATTGGATTGTTAAGAAATTGATCGGTAGAAATGGAGGGGGACAAAGAAACTGATGAATAAGGAAAACTATAAAAAAAAAAAAAAGAAAAGAGAACGTGTGACGTCGTCTCGAAAGTTGTTATGATCGATTTCGATCTCGCAAAACGATGTTACGATTCCCCTCTCGTTTTTCTTCAAGCGGCTGTGCGTAACTTGTAATTATAATTGTAATATTGTACGATTTATGAATTTGAGCACGATTCGAGTCAAGTCTCGAGTAATCGAGAGTTATTTATTCTACAATGAGATAGAGTATCGATCATAAGACTTCGAACTTCGTAAGAAGAGATTAAAGAACAAAAATGACAAATTTTTTCCTTTTTTTTATCTTCTTCTTTCAATTTAATTTTTAAAATGTTAAACGATGACCGGATTTTTTATATCGATCAAATAAGAAGAAGAAGAAGAAGTTAATAATTTGTAAAACGAAGAAAGAAGAAGAAGCGGAAAGAGAAAAATATTTGTATCATATATGCATACCTGTCACAGTGTAATTAGCCATAATTAATGAATTAATTGTCGATATCTCTAACGACTCGAGTAAAAGTTCATATGCGTGTTTGTACGTAGGAGAACTCTTCGAGTAGTCGAATCGATTTTTCGTCGAGATGTCCAAACTAGATGATACGTGTAAAGACAATGTTTATCAGAGTTATACGTTGTTTAAGATGAAGAACAGGAATGATATATTATATTATATGATTATATTATATATTATAATTATATTATATTAAATTATATTATATTGTATTATATTATATTGTATTATATTATATTACATTATATTATATTATATTATTATTATATATACGCAAAAGAAGAAAAAGAACAAGAAAAGAAAAGACAAGAAAATGAGGAGATCTGTCTGTTTTCAGACGAACATACACACAGTGTGGCGTATACTGTTAAAAAACACAATTACTCTCGTAAAGAAACAAAAGAAAAACGGAATAAAAAAAGAAAAATAAATAATAATACAACATTAATAAATAAATCGCATAAGGAACACGCACGAGCGAGCGTTTGCGTTAAGATTTCAGATAAAATATATTATATACAGATATTTATGATATAAAAATGGCTGTCTGGAAATGACAAGAGAAGGATTATAGTTCTGACAATGAGAGGGATCGTTCGAAGGATTTGTATTGGACGAGATATCGCCTCGCTATATCTTGACGAGGAAAGAGAAGAACCTATTTTTTAGCTTTTAAAAGGAGAAAAGACAAACTTTTTTATCTTTTTTTTTTGTTTTCTTTTTTCGCATTCTTCTATTTCTTATACCTAATGTCCAATCGAAAATTTATCATGCGACGCGCTATCTCGTTGAACACGAGCGGATAATACTGTATTGTAATTTACGACATTACGTAATTATTGTATATGTATCTATATTGATAACGAAGAAGAAAAAATAATAAGAAGAATACGAAAAAAGCAAGTAAGTAAGCAAGCAGAAAAAGGCGCCTAAATACGACGATATATATATATATATATATATATATATATATATATATATATATATATATATATACATATGTAATAACGATCGTAAATAGATCAAAGATTACAATCTATC